TTTTAAATCCGATGATGAGAAGAAAAGCCTTGTTTCGATAGATAAAAGTCCAGAATGCATTGAAAATACGTCGAAGATTTACCCGAGGCAATTCGGAGCGATAAAGGCTGGAGTAGAAATCGCTCTAACCTACGGACCTAAATTATTTTATCCTGTAATAAAACTCACCATTAAGTAAAAGTTTAGTTTAAATCAAATCCTTTTTTTTTTAAATAATTAAAGTGTTTTGTAGGTTATAAATACAAAAGCCAAAATACATTTTTTGGAAATTGGACGGGGAACTCCTGACACGCTTATTACGTCCGCTACAATAAAATGTATAAAAAAAGTAAGTCGAAAATATATATTTATATTTTTTTGTTAAATAAAACATAAATGCATATTAATAATTAGATGTATGTAATAATTTTAGCTTCTTCAAAATAGCGGTACAAAACTTCTCGAGCCTATAATGCTAGTTGAAATAATAACTCCGGAATCAACAGTGGACGCCATATTTAACGATCTTGGAAAAAGAAGAGCGGATATATATAGTCCGGAATCACGTGATTTAGATATCGTAAGTGATTTCAAATTAAATTTTGTTTAAAAAATTTTAAGTTGTTATCAAACAACAGCAGTAAATTTTAATTCCGGTTGCTCAGATTATTAGAGCATTAGTACCTTTATCAGAACTGTTGGGTTATGCGAAAAATTTGAGGATTATAACGTCTGGAAAAGGTGCTTTCACAATGGAACTTAAATATTACAAAGAAATGGATCCGGAAGAAGAAGCAAAAGCCGTTAAATACGTTACTGGATTTTAATAAAAAAGTAAAAGTAATTAATTTTTCGTATATTAATCTTTAATTTATTTACATGCAAAATTTTTATAAAATGAATAATTTTTTGAAACTGAATTATTATCGATTAGAATTAGAATTTTAATATTTTAAAAATTTCAATTAGATTTTAATTTAAAATTTTCGATTTTTCACCGATTTTAAAAGTCTCGAAAAATATTTTTTTTTTATTTTCACTTAAATCTAACGGAGTCGTATTGAATTCATTAATTATATTAAAAGTAAAGTTTCCGGTTGATCCTGATGTTTTATTATTTAAATAAAAGTCGAAATTTGAATTAACGAATTTATTGGATTCGAATGTCGGGTTGATTTTACACAAATCTTGTTTTGTATTTTTCAATTCTTTATTTCTTTTTTTTCTGGCTCTTTTATTTTGAAACCAAATTTTAACCTTTAAAAATTTTTTTTATTTATTACTAATAATTATACCGGAAACGAAACTCGAATAATAATAATAATAATACATACATACCCTCATTTCTGTTAATTTTAAATAAGATGCCACATGTTTAACGGTATCACTTCCTAAATATGGCGTCCGTAGAAAAGTTGCTTCTAAAAAAGCTACTTGTGAGCTAGAAAATGGTATTCTTGGATTTCGTCCCAATTTTCTTTTTTGATTACCATCTTTTTTTCTTTGTCCTGAAAAAAAAAAAAAAAAAAAAAAAAAAGAAAATTAATAAAAATGATACCACCAATAATTACAGAAATATAAATTTGATATCATTATTAAATATTTATTATTTAAAATATGTAAAATCATTTTATTTAATTTTAGTTTATTGATAACTTAGTTGAAACTTATTAGAAATTTAGTTAAATTAATAAAAAAATTACTAATTTAATTATATTGTTATTAAAATAACTTACTAGGTAATTTTGGCGGTTTATAACGAGTACAATTAAGCCATTCGAATTCGTTTTTTTTCATTTCACCGTTAAAAAAATTTTTTTTTGATTTTTCACCGGCAACATTAAGTATATGATCAATTGTAAAAATAGTTTTATTTACGTTAGATACTTTTTTCAATGAAACCATTTTATTAAATGTTTGATATTGTGTTGAAAAGTTTTTCAAATGTTATAATACTTGAAATGATTCTTTTGTCCCTTCTTTCACCACCCAATATCAGTTATTGGTGGTGGTGAATGGAACAATAAAATGGGTCGAATATTAAGGCGGTGCTTAAAAGATTAAACAACTCGCCAATATTTCACCCTTACTAGGTAGCAGTAACCAATCCCATTAATGTATCATCATCATCATCATCATTATAACAACAAAGTGTATATATTTTTCAATAGGGAAAATCTTTTTTCAAAGTCCTTACATTATATGATTAATAAATAAAGTATAAAATAACAAACAAACAAACATAATTTAACACAAATAATTCAAATGAAAAATTATTAATTAATTAATTAATTATTCAAATTTATTTAAAACACTATCAATTAATTAAAATTTTCATATTGTTTAATGTCATTAACTAATAATACTTTTAATGGAAATAATTTATTAATTTTTAAATAATTTAAAAAATAAATTTGTAAAATAAATAATAATGGGTAAATAATTTCCAATTATTAGATTATTATTATTATTATTATTATTATTACTATTATTATTATTAATTTCTTTATGATTAAAAATATTAACTAGCAGTACGTTAAAAAAAAAAAATAAAAACAATTATAATAAATAAATTTATTATTTAATATAATTTCTCTCTCTCTTTTTTTTTTATAAAACTAAAAGTATAATAAATGAAAATAATAATAATAATAATAATAATAATAATAATAATAATAAGTCTTCAAAAGTGAAAATAATAATAATAATAATAATAATAAAACTGAAAGATTTTTATTGAAAAAAAAAAAAAAAAGAAGGCCTTTTGGGTATAGGGGATGATGATGATGATGATGATGTTGGGGATAATACCTTAAGAAAATTTTGCGGTTGACTTGTTGTTGTTGTTAGTTGATATTATTGTTTAGCAAACAAAAACAAACAAAACAACAAACGGAATTGTTTATGTTGAACCGTCACTTTTTTTCTAAAGGTTTAGGGGGCACGCTTTGTCAATTAGATTTTCTAAGCCGTAACAAAATGAAAGAAAAAAAAAAAAAAAAGGAAAAATGCCGCCATTTATTTATTACATATGACTGACTATGCATTACTATTTATTTTCCCTTAAACATACAAATTTCTTTTTCTTTTTTTTTTTTTTGTTAAAATTTGTAAAAATAAAAACAACAAATTTAAATATTATTAAAAAAATATATTTATGTAATCTGGAGTGTTGAGAGAGAGAGAGAGAGAAAAACAAATTTATTTATTTATTTTTTTTTAAATTTAAATTTTCATATTTGATTACTTAATAATTATTCTTATGCTAAAAAATAAATAATAATAATAATAATATTTTTTTACTTTATTATAAATCCTCGGATTAATTTTTATAAATGATTTTGTTGTTGTTGTTGAAAGAATCACATTGTTAATAAATTATTTATTAACAATTTTCAACTTGATCAATTTCAATTATTTTTGATGGATATCAAGTTTATATCATACCCTTGATGTGTTTTTGTTGTTTTTCTATTTTTTTTTTTTTTTTTCCCTTTACTACATTCTGCCTATTATTTTTCACTTGAATTACTCAATAACATCATTTTAAATTTCATTCAATTCTATATAAATAATAATAATAATAATAATAATATTTATGAATTTATCCAAAGCCAATTTGTACCATCATCATCATCATCATCATCATCATGTGTGGTCTTCATTTTTTTTTGTATGTTTTTCTCAAACATCTGCTTGTTTATATTTTTCTTTTTTTTTATACTTTTTGCAAAAAACATTTGTTTAACATAAAACAAATTGAAAATATTTATGTATGAATTATATTTAAATAAAAAAAAGAATCAATTAATAATTACAAGGTATGTGAAAGTGATTGAAGATTGGGGTGACATTAATAATAATAATAACAAGTGTTCTATATAATTTACTTTTTTTAAACAAAAAATCAATGAAAGTAAAATCTTATACG